TATTGTAGTAAGGTTGTTCCGAACAGATTTTCACCTGGCGACGTTTGACGCGACCGTACGCTAACGCTGTTGCCAGCGCTGTCGCGGAAAACGGGGCAACGCGAGGGCGTGGGCACGCGGACGAGGATCTCGAAGTGCGAAGTGGACAGTTTTTGTGAAGGAGTTAGGCCTTGCAATGTGTAGGATCTCGAGATACGGAGCGGACAGTTTCTGTGGAGGAGTTCGGCCTTGCAATGTACGCGCCCGCCTGCGAACTGTCGAATCAGCACGGTAGGCTCCCGAATTTTCAGCAAACCTCTCGATCCTGGGGCCACGGCTCTAAATTTAGCTCAAAGCACCCCAAGCACTACCGTGATAAGAAAATGCTAGCAACTAAGGACAGCAGTTCGAAAATTTTCTGTCATTCGTCTACCACCTTGCAAAGCCACTTTGCCTCACTACTTTGGTGTCATGCGGAAAAGCGCAGTGAGATTACGAATGGGCTATTAGCGGTCACGGCACCTGGTAATTATGTACGTGCGCATGCGCCGTATATTTACTAATACAAGCATGCTTGTTGCCGTCCGATAATTTTACTGGTAATTATTCGAGCCGTTCATGTCTAATCAAGGTGGACGATTGGGTGAGTTGGGGATACATGATTCAAATAAGTATACTACGCGATAGAAAACATCGACGGGAAAAAGACAAGGACAAGCGCAGACTATCAACTGAAGGTTTATTCACCCGCATTGCATTTATATATGACAACCAGGAAAAAAAAGAAGAAATAAAGGAAGGAGAGTATCATTTGAACAAACGTCAAACTTTTTATACCCGTAGCACAAGGCAGAATATCAGATGCATTACACACATGCGCCACCAGTGCCTGCCCGCATGCGCACGCAATGTTCGCAATGGCATTGAGCGTTTCTTGGTTCAGTATGTCAGCAGGCGTGGTCGTCATGCGCTGTTTGAAAATGCAGTGGTTTCGTACAGGCACACAAATGATCACACGCGCATGATTATAAAAACAGAGAGAATGGCTCAAGAACCTGCGTGAGCAAACCATCGGTTGCCCTCATAGATAAGGGAGCATCAGTATATATCTGGTGAACGGCGCTTGTCTGTAATGCATCTGACATTCTGCCTCGTGCTTCGGCTATATAAAGTTTGACGTTTATTCAAATACTTTCCTTCCTTTCTTTTTTCCTTTTTTTTTCCTGGTTTTCATATATAAATGCAATTCGCTTGTCCTTGTCTTTTTCCCGTCCGTGTTTTCTACCGCGTAGTATACTTAGATCCTGTTCATGATGTCGCTGTGACCCCGAGAAAAAATAAACGAAAGCTTGATTGATTAATATGTGGGGTTTGACGTCCCAAAGCCACCGTATGATTATGAGACACACCGTAGTGGAGGGCTCCGGAAATTTCGACCACCTGGGGTTCTTTAAATTCAACGAAAGCGTATATGAATTTTGGATGATATGAATATTCTTGGTGACCCCGTGAGATTTCTATCACCGAGGTATCAAGGTATCGGAGACGCCTTTCAGCTCTCCCATAGTACAGTATCAAGTACTGTAAATCGTTAAACCTTTTTTCTAAACACTTTATTATTCCTCCTGGTACATCTGCGGCGCATACTCGGGAACTGCGCACGAGGAACATTTCGTAATACTTTAGAAGTCTTATTTCTTTGTCACTGAGACGTCACACCCGCTACTTATTTTCACAAAGCACTGCATGCTGTAATTTCTGTGCCGCGCGCTGATCTCTGTTGTTCAATGGAAGCAAGTAAAAGGAAAAGGAAGGAAAAGAGGAAGGTCAACGAGACTCGCGTCTGTTTTGCTATCCTATACTGGGGGAAGGAGATTGAGGGATTAAAAGGTGAAGAGATGGAAAAAAAAAGGAGCACAGCAGTGTTTCTTTTGTGCAGTAATTTTCAATGATCTTCTGGGGCTCAGCCTGGACTCATTAATGCAGTGCTTGTGAGGGGATCTCGCTCTTATCTCTATTAGTGCACAGACCACTAGACTCCATGTATTGGATATAGCTAAAGAATTCGTGCAACTGAAGGCTGGCTTGAGGGAAAATAAAATGAGGGAGGATGTTGGTCTTTCTATTTGGCCTCCTTTATTAGCCTTTACGTCATTGCCCTGAGAAACCACCATTGGATCACATGTGTTGGAACAAAAAAAAAAAACAAAAAAAAAACAGGGGATGTGGTTGGATGAACACTGAGTGGTTGCATCAGAGAGGATAAAGTTAACGACACTCTGAAGCAAGTCCAAACGAAACACTGCTATATTTTACGCCATCGCGTGGCGGACTTCCGTTGTGAGTGACGTTGATCCCGCAACAACTGCCTTCCTCGCAGTAAATGGCGGCCGGATTTTTCACGTTGCGCAGTGTTTCGTGGTGTCTATGGGGCGCTCGCTTCTTTAAAAAAAAGAAGAAAAAAAAAACGCATGTTAGTGTCAGCCGACAAGCTAGATCAACTATACTTTTTTATGTGTGTGTACTAGAGAATAAATGAAGTTATCCGACTTGTAATAATGTTGCAACATTGGCAGCTCTCAAGCATGCGGGCCTGCGGGGCCTTTGAGATTGCGGCACCTATCGCCGGCACGCACTCATCCTCTTGGCACTTGTATTACTTTGGAGCTTGGGATAACGGAAGTCGAGTTTGTGCATGGGTGTAAATAGAGACGATAAAAAGAAAAAAAAAAGCAGGGAGGTTAGCCAGCAGGTAACATCTCGTATGTTACCCTGCACTGGGGTTAAGGATTAGGGTATTGAAAGAAAGAGAGAGAGAGAGCATAACACGAAAAAAAAAAAAAAAAACTTGCAGCCACACACATTGACGCACATGAGAGCTCTCTACTCAATCATTCTAATAGGCCAGTAGATCGCAGCAAGCCTATATCAGCGCTTGGGAGGCCCTCTTCTGTGATGTTAGGTCTGGACGATGGCGCCCCGCCGCGGTGGTTAGTGGCTAAGGTACTCGGCTGCTGACCCGCAGGTCGCGGGATCGAATCCCGGCTGCGGCGGCTTGCATTTCCGATGGAGGCGGAAATGTTGTAGGCCGATGTGCTCAGATTTGGGTGCACGTTAAAGAACCCTAGGTGGTCGAAATTTCCGGAACCCTCCACTACGGCGTCTCTCATAATCATATGGTGGTTTTGGGACGTTAAACCCCACGCATCAAAACGAGTTAGTGTCCCTTTAAATAATTTGAAAGAAAAAAAGCCCCTTCAAAGAAAATCGTATGCGTGACCAGTCAGGATTCGTACAGAATAGTCACACATACGTTTCTTTTTTAAAGACGATAGTCTTTCTTGGGCACCTTTGAGGGAAAAATTTTGGTCTGTCTGTCTGTCTGTCTGTCTGTCTGTCTGTCTGTCTGTCTGTCTGTCTGTCTGTCTGTACATTTGTCTGTTTGTCTTCCCTTACCGATACCTCAAACGGCACCCACCAATCCGCAACACCTACCAATATTGCTCAAGCTTCAGCGTTCATACTTGTGCGATTGTCAATAAAAAAGCAATTATTGCGCATATCTGAGGCACCATAACAACACGTCAATGCTTTGTATGTGTGTCATTATACTAGAGAAGGCACACACAACTAATTCTAAGGACCGTAATGTTTGTTACGCTGCGCTGACAGTGCAACGCGATGCTCAAAAGGTAAGCGCTTCCAACGCTTTGCTAAGACGACATGGTGGTGGCACCTGCCCATCGCTTTGTGTTCTACACCTTATCATCTCCGAGACTGGCGCGCATCTTTCTCCGCGGGCGCGCATGCCTTCCTTCGTTTTTGAACTGACAGATGGCGCTCGTGTCTAACGTGCCTCGAAGCGCTCGTTCGACTACGGTGCACGCTCGGGGCACTCTGACGCAGCGCCTCCAGAATGCCATTCACCGATTTTCTTGCACAGAACATCAAATAAACGTTTTGTTCACTCTGTCCAGATGCAATACTATCGTCTTTCGACGACATATGCAGTGCAACATGCAGATTCGGGGCCAATTTTTTGTTTCCTTAGAATATAGTACACCTGAGGTGACTGGAGAGAATCAGTTCAGTTACAGTTTACCTAGTGGCATGGATATCACGTAAGCTTGAGATTTCGTGCCGTATTATTCGCAGGGAATGAGAGGTGGTAATTGCTTGGTTAGAGGATCGTACGTTGAAGGCGGAGGATTGAAAACCTCAAGTCGGGTGCTTGTTACTCAAGCTGCTAACATAGCAGCTTTTTGCTCTTATCCTTGCGTTTTCTTTTTCGCAACTCTGTGAAGAAAATGCCCAATAAAACTGAAACTGAATTGTTACCCGATCCATGATACACGAACGGGCCATCCCATGCACGTTTACTAAAATGGCCTTGCTTCACAGGGAGAAGACATTCTTCCTCACCCAGTTATATATCCCGGGAATACGTTTTCTATCCGTACTCTCCGTGACATTATGAAAACTTGGGAGGATAAAACATTTACTATATTTGTCTGTCTATCCATCTCTTTCGTTGCTCCCGGTGGGGCGTATACCACTGGTTGAAGTGCTGCTCCTTGTGGCAAGTTGTCTTGGCAACGAGTTTCACGCATATGCTAACCTCTTGCGGGGTTCGGTGGTTTGCCAACTTTCGCCAATTATCGTGGGGATCTGACCAATAGCCAGATAACTTAAAATCATTTTTGATATAACAACCTGGTAAACAGTTTGAAACAGTGAGATACTGGGAAGCACAACTCGCCAGTCTCGGACCCAGAAAGAAACTATAGCAGTTCTGAGTCACTTATGCGGGTTGCGGAAGCCTGTGAAGATTTGGACTCGGGGGCGCCACCCATCCGATTCTTCGAACTTTTTCATTGAAATGAACTCTTGTTTTTCTTCTCCGAAGAGCATGCCAAAACGTGATATTTTTTTAATATAGATGTTTTGCGGCGGCGAAGTCACAGAGACATTCTCGAGTCGTTGTGTTGACGGCGCTCGTCTCCTCCTTCGTGTCATCGCAGGGCGAGGAGAAAGGGCAGCTGGTGGTTCCTCGCATCGTGACCACGGCCGACTGGGGCCCCATGGACGAGTCCGTGGACGCGGCGGGGGACCTTCGCTACCCGTCGGGCCCGCCGCTGGGCGTCTCGGCCACGCTGCCCTCTGAGCGACGCCGCTCGCTGTCCGGCGGGGCCCACCGCCTGCCCGCCCTGCAGCTCTCGTCCGAGGGCGAGAAGGCAGTCCGGCGACGACGTGCTCGGCGGTGAGCCTCTTCGATGCGCGTCTGACGGACGGAGCGCGATCCTCGCTATACGCCTGGCATTATCCCTTGCGGCGGGAACAAGTGGCAGGCCGAATAACCTATGGGAGGCGGGTGGAGTTTTCGTGAGCAGTACAGCCTCCGCGCGAATTCACAACCACACCACCAACAGGAACCCACGGCTAGACCACAATGACCAAGGTCATGGCCTAAATCACTGGCCATAGCCGGGGCTATTATCAAAGCCTCAGCCGTGGCCTTCGCCGTAGCCACTGGCCAGCCGGGCTAGAGTGACCTAGAAGGTCACTCTATCTATAGCTGTGCCAAGACCGACTGGTCCCCATAGCACAGCTATCTATGCTATAGAAGCCTTTTACTCCAATATGAAGGCCGTATCGTTCTGCTAGTCGTCAGCTTATGCGTGGGCGTAACTTCATAGATAAATACCATGTTTTGCCGTTCGACACCCGCTCCTCCAGAACGAGAGAAAGAAGCCGCTAGTTTGACGAAAACCGTTTCCTGTGTGTTTGACTCAGTGGTAGCGTCTAGAATGAATTACGGTGCAGTGAAGCAGAGGAAGTCGCAAAAGGATTAGGAGGTTAGCCAGTTCATGTACAAGCTGACAACTTTGTAAGCGGCTAAAGAACGTTAATGAAGGTGAGTGCGTATGCAAGGGAAAAAAATGTAATGTAACTGTGCGCATCAGTTAGGCATAGAACACTTCAGATATGTCTGGGTGCTGTGTGGGCTACGAATCGTAGCCATTGACCAAAGCTACCGTGTGACAAGAAGTGGACGAGAAATGCAGCTGGTCTTGCTGGGATATTCTCAGTTGTTCGATGCCGGAGTGTTCAAGCGTTCTTAATTAAATTCCGCGAAAGTTTTTCGGAAATTGCGAGGCATCACGAACCAGCTTTTGTAATCGACCTGTTCCCGCCGAAAGGTGTGCACGTCGCATTCTGGAAGGCGTTTACTTGAGAAAGCGCGGCATTTGCCTCCGTCAAAGTGTGCTTGCTGCTCGATATGCCTGCCACCTACCTTCGCACCACACATGTTCCGGTTGCGCGTGGATTGCATGAACTCTTGTTTTGGTGAACTGTGAAGTTGACTTGTTAGCTTGTTTGGTTGTGGTGGCACGCAAAGAGGGCAAGCGGTGACACTACCCTTTTTAGCATTCGTTGTTCAAGCGACAGTTGATGGCGCTTACGCGTCGCATAAAGATGAAAAAAAAAAACACACATCTACAACAGAAATTTCATCGAGTGACTGGACTAGGTTTTTTATAACGTTATTGCCATTCCCCCGTTCGTAGCACGAAGCTTCAAAAAGAACGCAAGCGTAGGAAAGCTTCGTAGTTAAAAAAAAAATGATATCGTCCTGCAGCTGTGGTTCGCCCCCAAGACCAACATCTTTCTGTGGCAGTTGCCCTGCTGTCATGAGAAAACCAGGAGGCTAGCAGATGACGAATTAATCGAGAGTACGAATTAATCGACAACTCGAAATGTTGAGACAATACTCAAGGGACAATCTATAGATGGCCACTGACAACGGGGCACAATGTAAGAAGCCCCCATGAGCTCCCTTTGTGTGAAATATTCAGGAATCGGGAACAGCATAACTGAGTTGGTCGCGCGGCTTCGCTCTTTTATGGAACCTCACCGCCAAGTGACCACCATTCTTTTCTAGCTTCGGGCTACGAATGGTCGGAAGACTGAAGTTTTGCATAATCTCTTTTATCCTAGCAATTGCGATTGTAGGTAGAGATTAATGTGAACCACTTGACGACGTGTTTCTGTGGCACCATCAGCTTTTGCTTCGCAGTTCTCTGCTCGCTTAACGTATACCCTGCACTGCACTAACCCCGCTACCATTCTGGAAATATACAGCCAGACGCTTTCGCTTGCACTGTGCTGATGGTGGCGGTTGCGTGTATAGATGAGTGCTTCGTGTCGTGGTTGCCGTGTAAGTGCTCCTGCTTTTTGAAACACGTTAACTTGTTAGCTGGTTTGTCTTAATGTACGTCATTTTGATTAGATCTACACGAAAGAGTGAAAGAGATAAAGCGAAAACGGCAGTATCGTAACTTGGCAAGTAAGCGCGCGTTGACGAAATTCAGTGAAATGCGCAGCTTTGTCATTCGCTCCCATGTGATGTGCACCATAATTCATCTTTCATGATACGATTCATGTGCTTACGTGGCAAATGCTGTCAATTGACGTTAAAAAATAAACGGCAAAGGAAACGTTATATGTGGGGCATATTGTTTGTCAATTGACGTTAAAAAATAAACGGCAAAGGAAACGTTATATGTGGGGCATATTGTTTCACTTCCCTGTGGCTATGGCTTCAGAATTCTCAGGGAAGTGTTTACGGCATGCGGAATGGGGTCTCCTGGGTTACAGACTGGAGCTTTATATTCTGAGTTTATCTTTGAAGCATGCTTTTACAAAGTGCACTTTATATTACGCTTTATTGTGACCGACCGTCGTATATATTAAAAGTGACCAGTGCCTGCTGACCTCGTTGTTATACCTTATAGGAGACGTTTTCGTCGTGGTGGTGGTCTTCGCACTACACCCTAAAAAGTGGATACCAGTACGGAGACTGTCTGCGCTTAGAGGAGGTCGTCACGTATATTTATATGTATGCTATGATTACTACCGTGTGCTTCGCGACATTTAAGAGGTGGCATATAGTCACACTGTAGAAAAGTTATCGGGACACTGAGGTAGAATGGGGAAACAGTGGGAGGTTGCGGGGGGATAAGCAATGAGAGTAATCTATAAAAGGCGCTAAATTTGTGGATGTTCCTAAATTCGCCACGTTTGCCACTCGAAACGTACGTGCACGGTTACTGTGGGTTTTGCGGTGATGGAGCGCATGATGGCATGCTTGTGCGCGCATGGCGGCTTTTGGCGAAGCGTCGGGCCGAATGCGCGCGGCGATTGTGACTGGCTGGTTTTTGTGCGTTCGGCTATATCTGGCTGACAGCTGCCACATATAATGCAGCGATGCCTCGTAGCACGTGTACGAAAAGACGTGTTAATTCTCACCGTGTACTTCGTGTCTCTTATGGTGTGATCTCGCCGAAAAAAAAAAAAAGATACATATGGGGCTATCTTTAGCTTCAAGCCTCGTTCGTGTCGTATTCCCGGACGTTTACATTCATTTGTGGTCTGTACGTAGTATATCCTGGTCTATGAAAAATATGTTCTTACTGTTCGTATAAACAAGTTCCACCAAGCATGTTGCCTGGTTTGTGCGAAGTCTATACACTTCACACAAACCAGACCCCATGTTCTCCCTGAGCGCGAAAAATTTCCTTTTAGGCTCTTAAACTTCATGGGTTGCCTACACAAGGGCACCTTCAGAAATTTGTCAGTTCGCGAACTCAGTTGGCCGCCACGCACGCCATATATGCGCGACAGCTATAGAGGTGTTTACAAAATTTGTTAGCACTAGCATTATATGCATTCGGCACCGGAAGCCTTTAGGTCTTATTCGGGATGTGCAGCTTAGGAACAAGTTATAAAACCCAATTGCTGGAAGACGTGCGAACGCATTCGGGTCGTCAGTGCCCGAGACGACAGTCACGACCGCGGCGGCGCACAAATGCGGAAGCTGAAAAGCAGGCCGAGACCCACAGCTGTGCTGCTCTCCTCCCGGCCGGGCGGGTTTTTTCCCGCCGCGGGCCTTTTCTCTTTCCCCCCCACACCTCCCGTTGTTTTCCCGCCGGGGCACCCCAGGCGTGTCGCCTTCCCGCAAGGCGGTGCTGTTCGATGCCTTCCGGCCTCGCTCCAAGTCCGACTCCAAAGGCTCCTCCTCCTCAGGCAGCCGCAAGCCCAACAACCTCATGTCGGCGCTGCGGGGCCACAGCTGGTTCCCGGGCTCTCGCAGCGCGCTCACGCCGCCCAACGGCGCGGCCGGCGGCGGCGTTTCGGCGCCCATGTCTCCGCTGTCGCCTCTGAGCCCCGTGGACCCGGAGGCTCCGTTCCGGCGCCCTCGGTCGGGCTCCGAGAGCCGCACGGGCGCCGTCTCCAAGGTCATGGACCTCTTCCGGAGCCGCTCGCAGTCGGTCAGCGTCGAGGGAAAGTCCAAGGTGCGTCCAGGCGCACACCTTGTATGTATTACCTACATCCATTCCTGCGTTAGCGTCAATTCGACGTGCTAGCTATATATTAAAAAAGTTTTAGGGGCGAAGCTCCTTAGGGCGTGGGTTGTGCGTCCCCTGTAGCCTGTATGTAGCCACCTCTAGTTTAGTTCTTGCAGTGTTCACTAGATGGCGGTACCGTCCCCTGTATGTAGCCACCTCTAGTTTAGTTCTTGCAGTGTTCACTAGATGGCGGTACCGTCTCCTGTATGTAGCCACCTCTCGTTTAGTTCTTGTAGTGTTTACTAGATGGTGGTACTTGTAGCTGATGATGAAAAGATGCAAGATGTTATAAACTAGAAAGCGGTACTTGTAGTTGATGAAAGACGCGAGATCTTATAAAATAGGAATGATGTCACATATGGCGCGTGTCATTGTTCGATTTAGTGCGGTGACGTACGCTAGGGGGAGCGATGTAATAAAATCGAGTGGGCAAAATGTACAGAGGATTCATGGTTTACCAGGTTTACCTCCGGAGCTTCGCCCACTCATCATCATTCACTTCGTGGATATGGCGGAATTTTTTTGGCGTGTACGGTTTTCCGGCGTACGCAAAGGGGTTTACAGAACACCGGGTTACCGGACGGTGGCGCACACATCTCGTGACGCTTCGTGCAATCACGTTGGTGCAAACTATCTTAAAGAGGCAGATCGATCTGTATTAGGTCACTGTCGAGAGTGTGCACTGGCAGAGGAGTTGGATGCTCATTCATGATGGCACAAAATAAAACACACAAGAGAAGCTCACAGGACAAGCGCTGGTCTATAGGTGGCAGTTGCGTTAGCCCGTTAAACACACACACACACACACACACACACACACACACACACACACACACACACACACACACACACACACACACACACACACACACACACACACACACATACACATACACATACACATACACATACACACACACACACACATACACATACACATACACATACACATACACACACATACATACATACATACATACATACATACATACATACATACATACATACATACATACATACATACATACATACATACATACATACATACATACATACATATATATTATGCTTTCTTGCAAATAAATTAGCGCTTTTCCTGTTTTCTTCTCTTGTGCGTTTTATTTTGTGCACTGCCCACTATGAATAAGTTCCAACTCGCCCGCCTTTGATCTTCTTCTAAAGCCTTAGCTTTTGGCACTTACACTTCTGGATTTACCTAATTCATTTGTCCTGCCAGAGAGCGCTCCCTACCCTGCTTCTGAAATAGACGGCGATGGTCTAATGCAAAGAAGCTTGCTGGCAAACAAAAACCTATAAAACTGCCCATTATCGCGTCTGGTACTATAGGGCAGGGAACGCTTTCGTTTGTGCTTGCGTACAGGTCGGGTGCAACGTGCGAACTTCAGTCCTCCTCGGTATCGTCGTCATAATTTTCATTTCTCTCTCCCCTTTTCCAGTTACGCGCAGTGAACGTCCTCGCCTTTACCTTATTACTGTGTCGCTTTCACACGCAACCACATGAACACATCAAGGTAGCTGTGTGCCGCGTCGCAGACTAATAGCATGAATTTGCCAGGAGGGGGCAAATGTAAACGGGTGAATCGTAACTTAGAGAAGTGTGGCAGCTTGGGCTAGTTGGTATGGCATGACGATAGTTATAGCGCGAGAACAAAACGACGACACAGAGACAAGAAGGACACGAAAGACACGAGCGCTAACTTCCAACTCTTAGCGGAAGTTGGAAGTTAGCGCTCGTGTCTTTCGTGTCCTTCTTGTCTCTGTGTCGTCGTTTTGTTCTCGCGCTATAACTATCGTCATTGGGTGAATCGAGTCAAAGAAAAAGCTAAAAGCGAGAGAGATGTCTGCGTGTGGTTTCCCGCACTCGCAGGATAAACGCAGTAGACAGAAGAAGCGTCCGACTTGTTTCATGCTGATAGGTGTGTGCCGCATGTATAGGTATAAACCTCGTCGCATGCAATAATTACCGTGATGCGCTAAGAAGTGTGGCACGCGGCTGTTGCTTTTGTGTGGTCCAAGCGTTTAAGATTGCTTCCTTTACGTAATAATAAATAATAGCAACCTCTGTATTTCCATCAACGATGCAGGATACAAACGCGAGCAACTTGACGGAGGCCCGCAACTACCTCTGCTATGCAGGCAGCGGTAGCGCACATGTTCAGAACAATAAATAAATAAATAAATAAATAAATAAATAAATAAACAAAATAATATCATGCAGAACAAATATTCAGGAATATGAACTCAAAAATAAAAATGCTACAATTCTATCCAATAAAACATTCATGTCAGCGACAAGAAATGAAACAAGCGAGACGTTTCATTTGTTCGCTATGTGAGCATTTATTGATGAAATTTTCGTGCAGTGTCGGTGCAGAGGTTATTGGTATTTCAATGTCTAATTTATAAAATCGGTTTCAAATGATATGCAACGTCTAGGATATTTTCTGCATAGAATAAATTGCCCGTGCAGTGACCTTTTTCCACTGTTCTGTGTGACGAGTAGCGTGTGAATTCGTGTTTTTTTTTCTAGATTAGATAGTTCTGGAAAAAAAAACTTTTTAAGTTCTCTTTTATTTTTCTTTTGAACGGTAGACTTTACTCATAATTCTAATGCGATTCGCCGGGAAGTTGTTATACGACGTGTTCTTGTGGCACTGCCATGCAGACGCAGCTATTGCGAATGCTTGTGCTTCAGTGAATTGAATTCGTTTCACTCGGTGGGTCCGATCGCCGGTTTCGTCCGATGAACGAATGTCGTCGTCCTACTCAGCGGCAAACCGCGTAGAAACCCCTCGATGTGGCCTTTGCGACGTAGCTCGGTCCTGTGAGTGCTTTTTGACAGCGGCGACTTTCGGAAGTCGCGCATACCGCCTTGTGCGCTATACTGTTTTGGCTCGCTCAAGTGGCCCAAGTAATCATCGAAGAGTTGCTCGATATCGATGCAGGTTCACTTCCGAAGGTGCCGTCAACATTGCCGTTGCCAAGAGGCTAGTGATAATACGACAACAGCGTGGGCGGGGAATTATTTCATACGCCCCAGTCTGCTTGGAGTTCTTCTGACACATCTATGTTGATCTGTCGAGGTTGGGAAGTGCATGAGTCGAGTTTTTCCTCTAATACCGGGTCTATAGATGCGATTCACAAGTTTCTTGTATATTTGTACTTCTTGCTCTATTTATTGTTTCTTGAACTTGGTAATTTCACTAGTGCGTGCACGAGGAGAGCTTCTTTCTTTTTGTTTTATTCCTGTAGCTTAGACAGACTTTTCTCGCAGCGGCACATGTCGGCTTATCTTACAGTAAATTCACGGCCATCTGTCGCTCGCTTAAAGGAGCCCTATGCGAGAGTCCATCAAGGCGTCAATGTGCGTATTGACGTTGGCTAGTATGGACGAAACAGCTATATAGGCCTTGTGACAGTTAACGAGACTATTGCTGTGTGACATTTCCTTCGCACCTAAACGTCTATACTAAAGTATCTGTCACCGAGAAAAGGGAAATTAATTAACGTTGTGTAGTGCGGAAACGAACGTATAGCTCACTGCAGCTTCTTCAGGAATCTTTCGGTTAAGGATTGCGAAATGAAAATTGCATTTGCTCTCCGTTTTTTTTTTTTTGTATGGGCGGCCCACAGCGCGCGACTCCCCCTTATACATATAGATTTCATTTATATGCATGAGGGAATAAATCTAGCGCCAATTTAGGACCGGTCAGGGAGCATTATACTGTGCTTTGGCATATGAAACGAAAAACCTTGCAACCTGTGATCATTACAAAGAGGAAAACAAGGAAACCGCAATATACTTATATCTCGTATTAATCGTGCTTTGACAAATCGCCGTCATAGTATACGATATGATAAACAGAATATCCTAACTAAGAGATAAAGAAAACAGCTCACGCCAACACTGAAATGAAAGAATGAAGCAAAAAATAAAAAAAAAAGAACTTGCGTTTTCAAACGACAGGTGTTGCTGAACAAATCTATAGATTTGTTCAGCAACACCGCAGATGACACACAACTATAGTTGTGTGTCATCTGCGGGACACACATGTATAAAGGCAAGATTATTCACCTGCTGACTTCTTTCTCTGTTTGCCTTGCAGAAATACCCGGGCAGCAGCAGTGGCATCCAATACGGTGAGTGGACGAGATGAGTTTGTTTATACCTCTTTTTTTTTTTTAACTTCGTGACAACGTTGCCTTTCCAGTTCGTGTAACACAAAGAAAGCGAAGAAAGAAGGCTGACGTGATTTAACGTTTCTGTCGCGAGCCCCGCAAACACAGTTACGTAAATCCAGTTAAAGAAAGGCCGACAACAGTTAGTGACAAAAATAGGTCGACTTTTGCAGCGTGGCATAAAAATAGAAGCACAAAACAAGGTATCGAGCTTTATTGTTAGCGACAGCAATATATAATACCTGGAGAACTTATAAAATGTAGTGAAATAACCATCCTTTTAATAAGTTAAAAAAAAAGGAAATGAAAGAACAAAAGAATGGTATTGATTTATTCTGCGAAGCTGGCTTTGCCGTTTCCATTCCGTGTCCTGCTGGAAAGGCCATTATTTTAGTTCTAGTGATAAATTTGACAGCGATTCACTCCGGAGGAGCTGTAATTCTCGTAAACATCTGGTACCAGAGAGAGTGGAACCGTAGTGTCTAGCGTCACGGTGAAAAGCTTTCGCGTGTCATTTTGTTTTTTTTTTATTTTAGTTTGTCAATCATTGGTGCCAAGAATGATTTATCTGCATGTAGTGTCGTCGTGTACCTTATTAGCCGGTAACTATTCGAGAACTGCCTGAGTATCCTTCGAATCGGAGAGCTCCCCTGTTTTTTTTTTTGCTTTCCCCCCCTTGACTTACCGGAGGTGGTTATCTAGAGAGATAGCTCGTACACGACCACGAGCCCATGCTGATACCGAGTGATTAGAAGTGCCATACACTCGCCGCATTTTCACCGCTCTCGACTTAAGGAGACTTAAGGTCTATACATTGGCGTCTATCGCGCTTCTACCAGGTACGGTAGGAACGGAGACATCTGAGCCGTTGCTGAGCACTTGCGTGCACGAGAGGTGCATGCAACTGCTCGAACCGCGGAGACTCGTCCGTTACACCATCGAGCTTGTGTGTCCTGAGCTAGTTTCTTACGTAAGAAACCGGGTCCGACTCCCAATGCGATTTTCTAACTCGTGGTAATCTGGACCGCTATACTGTATACTCTAGGATGGATTACGCAAGGACATGTGTAAGACGAGCCTGTTTCGATAGGTGCTTTTGTTGTCACGAAATGACGTTCGCGCTGAAATTTGGATCTCCTCCCTTCATGGGCGTGTCATCTTTCCAGAAATGGATGAAACTTCGGATCTACTTTGACAGCTGGCTGACATGGAAGCCTCGCCCCTCGCGCTTATCGCTTGTCATAGAAGGTGTGCGATACTGTCGTGTCTCGCAGCTTAAGATAAACCACTGGCGACGCGATTCAAGCACATGCTTCGTAAAGGATGGGATTATAAAAAATTCGTGCTGAACGCGTGGTATACGTGCCTTCATCTGAACTCTCTGAGTGTGGTAGCGCTCGTTGTTTGTTAACTGAAGTCACTACGCGGACTCTCTCGTGTCTCTTAGTGCTATTTTGTTATGACTTTTTGTAGGATCGGTTCAATGTATTCATCGATTGAAACGTGACTTTTTTTTTCAGTATAACGCCTGCTACGAGCGATTGCTCACGATAACTGCGTCACGTCGCTGCAAATCGGGCCGATAAGATAATAAAGGACTCAATTAAAAAATTAAGCCGATAGGATATGAACTGTACACGCTGGAAAGAAAAGTATGCAGGATTATGCAGCCCTTAATTAACACGTCTCAGTCCGCCAGTACTGCGCGTTGACTTTTCCTGAACTACGACGTCATCTTCTGTGTTTGGCTTTCAAATCTGCATTTCAGCAGGTGATTCGCTGACCTCGTCAGGTATCGCGTGCGTACATGCGTGACTTTTTGTTTGTGAACCTTGCACCTATGGTCGCGGTTTTCTCGTTAGCGTATATAGACGTTGCGCAGCATTATGGTTACCTGGTGTTTATCGCGGCTGTGGACTGTTTGACGCAAGCCGTGTATCCCGCTGGCGCCGTTCTACAGTTTCAGTTGCACTGATTGTTCTCGGGCCGGTTTGAATACGTATACTGAGTGTGAAAACGGCGCGCTTTAGGCGGGATAGAAAACGAAAAGAAGTTTACATACGCAGCGCGCACTAGCAATTGAGTTTATTATCTCCAGACAAGAAATAAATAAGGATGCATGTGGAACGTCTATCATGTTTTTCACCGGTACACTCGCACTGAACCGTCGCGGAAACGGATTTATTTTTGTGAAGTCGCAGCGGGAAAGCTTTTGGAACATTCAGAGTTTCCTTTATAAATACCAAAAACTTCCCGATATTCTCGTCTCGGCCTGTTCCGCATACGGGCATATCGCTCTGCGCCTTCTGAATGAAGGTCGGCATTCGCCGTCTACAACACGCGCGGGAAAGAGTTTGCTTACCTTACGGACGCTGCACGCGTGTTTATACGTGGCGATGATACGCCGCTTGGATGTAACGTATCAGTTCAATCTGTATTACATCCCCTATGTTTTTTTTTTTGTTCTACACATATATCTACGTCTGCTTCATGTTTGGTATCGATAACTACTGTTGCGCAGTATCGGTGACAACGAAACATTTCTTACTTTGCGTCGTGATCGCATGTGATTTTAAGTGTAGTGACTTCATTCGATATAGATGAAGCAGCGCACAAAGGGCACAAACAATCAGGCGTGAAAATATGTCGGTATCACAGCTTCATATCAATATCGCGGTTCACAATCAGTGCATATTAACTTTAATGGCTTTGGTGTAGAAAGCCCTTCATTTTTTTCCCCCTAACTGTATGCGTAAAAAGACCTCAGATCTTGTAGTCACGTGGTATAGCCATTGCGAAAGGTCGACGCTTAGATCAGTTCAACTGTTGCCCCGGGACTGCAGCGTCCTCTTCAATGCTCGGTGTGAAGCTTTGTGAAGCTCCGAAGAGAGCCGCCGTGTGTAACGTTATCTACACTCGTGTATGATCAAGTTGCCATGGAAACCGGTGGGCGCGCTCCGCGCGAATCCCAGGCTCTGCTCTTCCGTATTTCTGTATGCTTTCTCCATGCGCGCGTTTCTGTATAAGGGTTCCTTTTTTACACGTTTAATACGAAGGAACGAGCGGTTGAAGCTTCGACGATGACACGCCGGCTGGAAGGTTGCCCAACGCGTGCTTCCGATTGTTCTCGCTTCCTTTTGTCGACGACATGTGTTAGTATAACGAAGACAATTGGGCGAGTTGGTTATAGGATTCGCCCTAGAAACAGCGCGAGGAACGCAAGGACCGTTTGGTCTTACACTTCGACCTTGTGTTTGCTTGCGCCGTTTCTATAAGAGGACACCTGTTGTGTTTCGCAAGGTTCGCAAGTGCGCGCTCTTTGGGAGACGTGCTTCGAAGCTTAGTCACGCAACAGGTCTCTAAACGGCCTAGCCAGACAATAGACAGTACTCTTTGAGGTGGCTACAAGTTCAGGTTCCGAAAGAAAGAAATCAGGAAGGCCGTGCCTCTTATTGATCAGGTCTTTGACTTTTTTGTTTGTTTGTTGTTCTCTAGTCCGTGCTATTGTGTGTGGTTGGCGTTCGGTTATTCTCGGCGCACCTTCCTGACGATGATCGTGTCTATGCAAATTCGTGGGAGGGCGTCGATGAAGATGCACCTGTTGACCTTCCCTTTTTTAACACTAAATCACTGAATGTTGGAATGATAACGGAATATCGAGGCTGGCTTTAGCTATAGTGCTAAGCTACTTTCAGTGGTGCATCGATCGTATGTATAGGTATCGACTTCTTTTGTATTATCTGCTTTCTTGCAAGAGGACAATATGTTATCTAATCGGGCATGCTCTTTCCAGTAATGTCGACCACCGAGACAATTTCTTTTTTTTTAATTCTCGCCCCCCTGTTTTTACACACGCTTGAATTTGTGCAGCGATGGCGCGTGATTTACGATTGCTGAAACGTTCTATGCTCTAATGTTAACGTTTTGCATCACAGGCCTTACTTAACAATAAAAATAATAAAACTTAGATGTTTCGTTATTTATGCAGGTGCCATCGTCAGTGCAGAGAAGGCAATAGATGAAATAGTGCCTTCATTCTACTGTAAACACCCGGAAGAACATCACGGTTACTCTTGCATGCCTGCCGATCGCGATGGATAAACTCGGACTCCATATATTTTCTTCGGTCCCATTGTTCTTCCCGCGCAACCCTCGCCACATTATCGAAATCGAATGCGAGTTCTTTTTTGGTCAGGCAGCGATAGACATTAGTTCTGTCTCAATAGCCCCCTGTTGCATTTGTTGCTTTTATGACGCTCCGACCGCGTTACTTGAGGCGAATACGACGTGGCCACCCCGCGGCTAAATATCTACATTGTATTGTGCATATTACTGAGAAAAACCAGCGATCCAAAAAGCCGAATATAAATTCTCCTGACTTTTGGAGCATCCTTTCACGAAATAATGAGTAGAAACGGCAGCTATTTATATATATATACACACACACACACACAAAAAAAAAACTAATTTAAAGGAAGGGCCAGCCGTCACGATTGGTCAAAACGTTCTTTCTTGTCAGTGCCGAAACCGTGCACGCCTTGGAAGGGATCTTCGTAGTCTATGGTCTTGTGATGTTTAAGGCGGTTTTAATTTATAAATAAATAAATAAATAAATAAATAAATAAATAAATAAATAAATAAGTGAAATTGATTATTGATGACAAAGTAGAATAGAGTGCATCGGGTTTAACAGTTTGTTAGCGTGTATCCAGACGATGGACGATTCGCGGACGATTGTTCTGCCACTCGCCCGGCTGCGAAGCACATCCAGACGACGGACGAGGCGAGCAGACGGACGCGCTGTAGGAAAAAAAAAACAAAAAAAAAACATGGCGGCACTGTTTGAAGCGAGAGCTGCCCGCTTCGTATCTTTAAGCTCTTCGTCGCGGAGGATCGCGTCGTTATTCACAAGTTGATGGTTGTGTCGGCTTTAGGTATGTGTCCTCAAGCTTCGGCGGCAA